CTTGCTTTTTTCTTCGTAATGTTCTTGTATTTTCCGACCTGCAACTCACTCCCGCAAACATCCTCTGCCTCGGGGACTACGTGGACCGTGGACCGTACTCACTCGAATGTCTTATTCTGTTGCTCTCACTGAAGATCAGTCATCCGTCGAAGGTGGTGATGCTTCGTGGCAATCATGAGGATCGTGTGGTGTGTGGCGACCTGTTAACCTATGGATCTGCTTCTTTTCTTGCACAATGTGAGGCGTTATACGGCGTGGATGAGGGGCGGAAATTGTTCAAGGAATTGACGGCTCTTTTTCGCCACTTCCCTCTTGCTGCAGAACTCATCATTCCTGCAGTAGCAAACAACAGTGGCAACAACAGTAATACTACCAGTAGTAGTATTAATAATAATAATAACAATAATAATAATAATCATAATCATCATTATCATAATAATAACACCAATTCTCCCGGTGATTTGGCTGCAGCTTCCGTTTCAAGGTTATTGGCACCACAGGGTCGACGGAGGACCCATGAGGAGCGCGTGTTGTGTACCCACGGTGGTATCCCGCGCTTTTTTTCCCCGCCTAAGGAGGATGACAGCCTTGCGTTTCTGCGAAACGAGGACTTTCCGCGCATGTTGACTTTGTTCCCCAATAATCCCTTTGTGAGGGATGATCCGGAGGCCCAGGTGGAGCTTCTAGGAGCTGTGGGACAGACACCTGTCTCGCATGCGTCATCAACGACTGCTATAAGCGAAGCGATGTTGCGTAAAGCATGGTTCGTTGCATTTGATCTTATGTGGTCTGACCCCACAATCCATGACCCCGGCGATGATGATAATGAGTCCTCTGCATTTGCCTTGTCTGGAAACGGCCATGCATCTATCAATGAGTGGGGTTTTGGTGTGAACAAGCGCGGGAGTAATGTACTCACGTTTTTTGCCAAGGCCTTAGAGACCTTTTTGCAGGCCCACCAGTACAGCATGTTGTTTCGCGCCCATCAAGAGAAGGCGCATGGGCTGCGTTTTAGCAAGAGCACCAAGGTATTGACCATTTTTAGCAGCTCCAACTACCTTGGGCACGGCAACGGTGCAGGTTGTGTGCTGGTGACTGCCGATGGTGAAATTCAGCTTGTCGAGAAGTTGAGTGAGTGATGATTTTTTTTTTTTTTTTTTCCGGGCCCTTTGAAATTGTAACGTAGGAAAGAAAGTGACAGTTGGGGAAGAAGGAATGAGTGTGGTTGTCTGCATGTGTATCCATTTTTGGACCAAAGAAAAAAAAAAAAAAAACACACAGACACACACATGCACACAGACAAGGGCCAATAAATAATGAAAAAAAAAAAAAAAAAAAAGAGGCGCAAAAGCAAAAAATAAGTTCAAAATGATGTGGAATGAAAAGCTAGAAAAAGAACAACAACAACAACAACAACAACAACAAAAATATAAATAAATTAGAAAGGAAGCAAAAATGTGGGTATATACATTATACATTTATATATTTATATTCCGCCATTTGGGATGGCGGTGCTTGTAGGACGAGGAGCGATGGGCTTCCTGAGGCGTTCCTCGTCCCTTTTTTCCTCCGGGAATTTTTAAGAGGAACCGGGCAGCGAATATGACTGCGTAATTTATCAGCGAGTAACAAGCAATCAAACGTAAATGATTCGTTAAATATCACCTCCGGAGGATTCATGACTGGAGAGGGGAAGCATGCGGAGTGGTGGGTAACGGGGCGATATGGCAGAGGAGGAGAGGAGGATAGGGATCAATCGACGTGATGATTAACGCACATGATCTTCCCGTCCCTCTCGGCTATGTGCCCTTGTAGTTTCAAAGGACGCGTACGCACACAGGGGGGAATCCAAGACAAACGCTGGCGAGACACACACGCACACACACACACACACACACAGAAACAGACAGACGAAAAAAGAAAAAGAAAAAGAAAAAGAAAAAAGAGCAACAAAGATAAAATTAACCGAAGTGTGCATCTTTTTTTTTTTTTTTTTTTTCAAGGAGGGGGGATCTTGTTATGTTGAGACTCGTCACTGCAAATATTATTGACGGTAGGGCACTTTTTTTTTTTTTTTGTGTGTGTGTGTGTGTGTTGTTGTTGTTTTATTCTGTTTTGTTCTTGTGGATTTATTTATTTTTTTTTTTTTTTTCATTTTTATTTTTTTTTCGGGGGTTTAGGGTTCTCTGTGCTTCACCGCTATCGTCTGAGCAGGCACACATATGAATGATGTATGGAACTAAAAGTGCCGTAAACCGACTTTGAGTTACCGGTGGATCCGACAGGGGTGGCATGAGTAAGTCAAATAGCACGGGATGTAGTGAAAAGGGGAGAGTGAGAGGGAAAGGAAGAGAGGTGCCCCGGCGTTTAGTTTTGATTGGTGTATTTCTTTCTCTCTCTCTCTCTGTGTGTGTGTGTGTGCTGGGGTCTCCTGTAATAATTTCTTTTTTTGCGGACGTACATTTACACACGCGCATCTCTTTTTTTTTTTTCTCTCTCTTTTTCTTTTTTACTCTTATCACTTCTGCTCTAAGAGGCGTCTTTTTTTTTTTTTTTTTATGTTGTTGTTGTTGAGAAGAGGAGACAGAAAGTGAGGGAGAAATTGAGGTGCCTTATTTAACATAAGTGGGCACGTGATTGTTTTTTTTTTTGTTGTTGCATGGGATGGAAAGAAAGGACAGTCCAACGAGCGTTAGGCAATTAAACAGGGAGAGTGTGCTGCTGCTGCTGCTGGAGTGAGAGTGTGTGTGGTGGTGGGAATAGAGAGGTATGTGGGAATATGGACTGTTTATTCTGTTGTACCTAAAAAGTTTTTTTTTTCTTTTTTTTTTGGGGGTTTTAAATTCTTGATTACATGTATTGTTTGACTTGTTGTTGTGGATTTTTTTTTTTTTCGTTGCGTCAATGAATGGGAGAGGGAACACATGTATATATATTTATGCATGTATTTGTGTGTATTTATGTGTCTGCTTTCTTCTTTGCATTACAGTCGTCTTCTCCATGTTTTTTTTTTTTTTTCTTCTCTGTTTTGATTGTTTGGAAGGATTCTTTTTTTATTTATTATTTACATTTTTTTTCCTTTTTTTTTTTAGGGCATTTTTATTTTGCCTGAGGCCGTGTGGCGTGACGTGTGATTCATTGGCCCAGGGCTTCGTGGCAAACAGGAGTTGGGGACGGGAACGAAGGAGGAGAAAAGTCGTCGTCGCAGGCGAAGTTGGAGGTGCGAGCGGTTTTGTGGGGGGTGGGGTGGGGTGGGAGACGAGAGGAGGGAAAACTCGGTTGGAGAATCCTCTGGACGTAAATTGAAATATACACATCCTATATACATATGCTTCCTGGGCTACGAACACTGCATTTTGTGGAGGACGTTGTAGTGGACCGCCTGCGGTGGTGGCGCTCTCAGCATGAGGCGATGATGGCAACAACGATGAGGTCCACCGCACATGGCCCACGGCTCTCTTCATCTCTTTCCGTAGCGACAGAAGCACCGCGGCCGCGGGCACACTCTGCCCTGCCGCATGGCTTCTCGACTCACCGTCGTGAGCGACTCTTGACGACGTTGCCGCCGCGTGACGTCTTGGCATTGCGCCACCCACCGATGCTTCTCTTTTTGCGGGGCGAGGCCACCGCGGAGCAGCGCGACAGCGTGCAGATGGCGTTGCGTGAAGTGGAAGGAGCGGTGTGGATTGCACGGCTGCTGCCGATGGAGCGCGTCTTTTACAGCTCTCAGATAAGACCAGAGCACCGGGATGAGACATCTGGGTTCTCACCGCGGAGGAAGTGGCCACGGCAACGGGCGTCGTCTTCTCCGCCTCTGCCATCATCCTCTCGGGATTTTTATAGGGTACGAAACAAGAGGCGTGGCAAGGGAGGACCGCATAATTGTCGAGAGGATGGAACTGCCGAGCTGCCAAATAATAAAGAAGGATTGGCGCTACATCTTGTTTCGCCATCTACTCATGTGTGCAGAAAGGTGAGTTGCCTACAGGATGAGTACGTATTTAACCCCGATGCAGACTTTGTTGGCGACGGGGCATTTTCGCGTGTCTTCCGTGCGGTGCCTCTTTTTCGGGGAAATACAAGTGTGAGCTTTTTTGCAATCAAAGTTATTCCCTGCCGAAGGAAGAAGGGGGCCCTTATGGCTTCAGAAGCGAAATGGCGTGGCGAAAAAAAGGAGCAGGTATCCAAGGAAGGTGCAGCTCATGAAGTCACTGTCCATTGCAAGATGCATGGACGGGATGTAGAGGTTTCCATTCATGGTGGTGGCGGTGTGGAATATCATGACGCTCTGCACCGTGAGTTAGTGGAGATTGAACGGGAGATATCTATCATACGATCATTGCGCCACACGGGGTGTTCACAATTTGTGGAGGCGTTGCGTACACCCGATGAGTTTGTAATTGTGATGAACATGGGGAGAGGTTGCATGGATGCACGACGGTACCTTCAACTTAATGGTCCTCCTTCCGAGGCTCGTGTTGCTCTTATCATTTATCAACTGGTCCGTACTGTTAAATATCTGCAGTACACTTATGGCATTATTCACCGGGACATCAAGCTGGAGAACTTGCTTCTTTCTCAAATTGACGCCTCCCAGGATTGCATTCGGCAGGTTCTTGGCACGGGTTTTGCGACACGTTCGCGTGAGACGGAGTCTACCATGCAAGACGAGGATGAGGAGGAGAGTATAGAAACGCTGGAATACAAGGAAAACAAGAAGGACGTTCAAAAACCGAGGAACCGTTTGGCATCGGTATGGGGCTCTATTTCTTCTGAACAAAGTTCTGAGAATTTTGAGCGGCTTTTGAAAGTGACTCTTATTGACTTTGGCTTGGCCCGTCGTACAACAAAACTCGGTGAAAAATACCGGAGTCGTGGCTTTAGCGAAGGCAATGTGGGGAAATCGCAAATGAACAGTAGTTGTAGCAACCGATTTTCTCGTGTGGGCATGCCTACACCATTACCATCCGCAGCCAACATGTTTATGTCTGTGGATATTGAGAGTGGCTCTGGTGCGTCAAGCAGCGATGAGACTCCTTCCGAGACTACATCCTCCAGTGCCAATGACGATGAGGATGATGACCGCAACGTTAGTTACGGAAGGATAAATGTGGACGATGACGTTGACAAGAACGAGGACGATGGTGGGGAGGAAGACACGGAGAAAATTCATATGGAGGTTGGAGGCGATGTATCGAAATGCACCACATCGATGACATCCCTTCTTGTCTCCACCGCAGAGCCCTTGGCTCTTGCGGATGGGGCTGGGATTGCGATGGCTGAGGGTCCCGGCGAGTCTACGCTGACTGAATTCCAGCAAAAAGGCGAATTGGAGACAGCGACCATTTTGAATTCCAAGGAACAATTCATCACGCGTTCTTGCGGTGACCCCCTCTACCGTTTTGCGCCAACCATGCCTTTAACAGCCGCCGCCTTGCAGGGGGCGGGCGCTACCCCGTCGGCTCCGTTTACTGAGCGTGGCGAGCCAAACGCCCGAGCATGGCGTGAAGAGGGTCAAGATGATGGAGAGATGCTGCTATTTTTGACGCCATGCGGCACCGACAAGTATCTTCCTCCGGAGATGCTAAGTTGGATCGTCAGCTACGGATGGAAAAGGAAACTCACAACACTTCGTATGGCGCGACAACTTGACGCGTACGCCATTGGAATTGTTGCATACGTCCTCCTCAGTGGCTGCTTCCCCTTTAACGGGGCCTCACGGGCAAGCATGGCTCAGCAGCAGCAGCGCTGTACCCCAAAGTGCAATAGTGATCACTGGAAGCACATCAGCCTCGAGGCCATTTCATTTGTACAGTCCCTTTTGGAACCGAATCCAGAGCTCCGGAGCACGGTGGCAGAGGCGCTGAAACAACCATGGCTGCGCCGTGCCGCAAAGTTAGCAGAAAAACTTTCGCTCGTTCCCGAATCTCTGGAGGAGGTGCCAATTGGTGGAAATCCATCAGCAGAGACATGCAAGAGGCAAGAAGAGACCCCGAACCATCTACTTCACGTACACCAGCAGCAGGATGCAACTCATCCGGGGAGGAGGTCATGTGATATTTCGTCTGCCGTGGACAGCGGCTGTAACTCGCAGCGTTCTGCTCGCCATGACAGTCTCATACACCAAAGTAGCACGACATGTGCCACACCGCCGTTCCTTGCATCGAGAGCTGATCATGCGGGAACAAGGACTGCGGTTGCAGCGAAGAATTCAAAGGAGAAATTGCATGGGTCATCCACGGCGACAGCAATGAGTGATAAGGAGACAGGCCACGTTGCTCATGCATTCTCGCCCCCGACGTGGTCATCGCAGGTATCGTTGTCGGCCTCATCGCCAAGAGAAACGGCCGCGTCACTTTTGGCGCAGATTTCTGCCACCCGGAAAGCTCTTCACGGGGATGGCGATGCTGCCGGGGGGCCGTCAAATATCTCGATAGGGAAGGCGGAGTGGACGGACGACTCTGAGGAGGAGAGCGATCTCTTCCAGCGCATTTTTAAAACTGTCATGTCTGAGCATTGAGAGGGGGATGGCAGCTGTAGAGACAGAGACAATGCATGGCGCTGGTTAGCCTCCGCCGCCGCCCCCATGAGCCCTACAACTGCTGCGAGAGGAGCGCTGACTCCAAACAACAAAAAGCCAACGTGAAACGGCCATAATTTTGGCTGTGGGTGATGCATCTGATGTAAACACGGATCACACAGCAAGTAAATGGAAGTGAGGCAGAAAAACGAAAAACTAAAAATGATGATGAAGTCACTGCTTTTCTGTGCTCTTTGTATATGAGTTTAACGTTCTTTTTTTTTTTTGTGTGTGTGTGTGTGTGTGCCTTTCAATTTTTTTTATTTTTTATTTTTTAGTTCAAACTGTGCGTGTGCTGTGTAGGTATATGATATCCATACATTGTGTGTCGGTTTTTAGTTATATATACATACAGACTTGTTTGTTTAATGTATGTATATATATGTGTGTTTAGGCGTCTGCGTATATCTTTATATATATATATACATATGTTCTCTTCTATGTGGGTATGAATGTGTATCTGCGTGTGAGTGATGGTGCTGGCTATTATGCAATTCTTTCTTGGGGGAGGGGGAGGGTTCGATGTTAAATCGCTTCCATTTTGCACTGCATTTGTGTCTGCATGTATGCCCCTGTCATTTGTTTTTTTTTTTTTCCGTTTATTTACAAAATGAGGGTAATATATATATCTATCTATCTATCTATAAAGACGTACTAAAACAATTTGTGTGGTTATTGATGGCGAATTTCTTTTTCTTTCTCTGTACAATGTATGTGTTTGAACCGGAAGGAGGGAGGGAGGGAGGGAGGAGGGGGAATGTTATTTACTCGTGCAGTTTTCCCTGTTGCCCTCAAAAGGACGCATGTCAACAGATGTGCATGATTTTGTATATATACATGGATGCCGATGATGGAACCTAGACAGGTGCCTTTTGCTTTCTTGCTTTTTTTTTTTTTTTTTGACGTTTTGTTGCGAAACAAACAAGAGTTCTTCTGTGGTGGTTTTTTCTAAACCTCCGGGGAGACACAAATAAGTGCAGTGGTGGTGGTCGGTGGTGCACGCTGCAGGGTCTTTCTCCCTCCCCCACGCACACGCACCGCTTTTATTTGCTTTGCTGACGATTGCTGTTGCCCACCTCCTTTTTTTTTTTTGTTTTTTTTGAGAGACTGCGAGAGGAATGGTTTTGTTCTGCTGCGGGTTTCTGGCGCATACCCAACAATAGCAACTGTTTTTTTTTTTTTTTTTTGAGGGAGGGAGGCGGAGGAGGAGGGGTTTATTTCTTTCCATTTTCAAAAATCTATCTTTTTTTCTTTCTCTCTCTCTCCCTGTGCCTCTGCATGGTCCGGTAAGCATCAAGGAGAGTGGTCAAAGGCATTGAGGGGAGTGGTGTCTGGCGCTTTTTCTTTTGCGTGGGTGGCGGGGTGCTGCTGGCCGTGCAGAACACATCCACCGAGGTGAGCATCGAGCAGTACGAGGACATGCAGAAGCGGTCAAAGAAGAAGAAGCGGCGATCCCAGCAGGGGATGTTGTTTTCGTTGCTGAAAACGTTTCCGGTGCCCACGTCCCCGGCGAATTCGTTGCATTCCACGGATGAAATGTTGCGGATGCGGGGTTCCGCGAAGGAGGTGTCTGTGGGTGGCGGATTCCGCTGCCGTTTGCTTGACGAGCCCTTCAATGGCGTGCAATGGGTGCCCGTGATGCATCGGGAGATGGATTTTAACGGAAATCCACACCTCAGCGTGAGTCACACGGACGATCAGCGTATCCGCCTGTCAAACCCCGTGCAGTCATTTGGGCGTGCGGGACTTCTGGACCGTGCGCCCTCACCGGTGCACCTCGCCGTCTCGTTCAGGTCACCGACACTCCTGAACATCTTTGACATCCACTCAGGAACACCACCGATGGACGCAACGACGATACGAGCACACACGGTGACGGCAGGTACACAGCTGAGTGGCGGGGTGGAGCGTAATATACGGTGTGGTAGCAAAATTGTCTGTGGCTATACAGACGATGCCAAAATGGTGTGCGCTGTGCGTGTTCTTCTAGTGGACAAGGTGATGCTGAAAAAATTGAAAGAACTCGTTGCACCGTCGTCTTTTTTCTCTTCACCACGCATGTCAGAGCATGGCTTTGAGGGCACGCGGAATAGTGTCGCGAGCAAAACGACCGGTATGCTTTCGGTTGAATTATCCGTATCGAATCCATCTTTATTTCAAGCAGTGGAGGAGGATAGCAAAAATGATGGAAATGGTGGGGGAAACGGTAACGAGTCGCTTTCAAACTACTTTTTTCTGCGATTACAGCAAGGGCTTGAGGAGGCTTTTTTGCGCCCTTTAGAGAGGGGTTTTGTGGATGTGCCGAGTGAAGACGCTGCGGATGATAAAAGCATGTGGATCTGTTCTCCCAGCTTTGCCAGGTCTCGGCATCTGTCCAAGAACACTGAAGATACTGTGAGTGCAGAGGACAGTGCTCCTGACTCATTTGGTAAAACGGAGGGGGAGGACGAGGCGTGCGTCACTTTATCCCCACCGACGCACTCTGTTGGTGTGTCAGGTTCGGCTGGTGTTGGTAGCGTTACGGGCTCTTCTTTGAAGACGATTGCTTTGGAGGATGTTGCCGGAAAACACACGACATCTGATGGCATTTACCCAAACGACACGGTCAAGTTTGTCGATATGAAAAGGATAGATGGCGGAAACGCGGTGGAGTGGCACCTTCCTATCGTTGGGGTCAAAGTTGTTTCCTTGAACCCGGAGGGCCTGGCATTGCGTGAGGAGGGGCGATCCACTTCTTTTACGTTTCCAAAGCGACGACGCACAAATACGGCGGCCACTTCGGTTGTCGCAGCCAATTCAAATTTATCCCAACGGCGTCGGAAGCCTGTGCTTTGTTTGGGGGAAAGTCCCACTCGGAGAACGCAGCGGGTGTCAAGACATTCTTCCAAACTTAGTAAAGTTCCTTCAGGTTTAGAGAGCCTTCCTCGATCCTCTTGCACTGGAAAAGTCATAGCCACCTCGCTGAGTGGATTAACACGTGTGAAGAAGGGGAAACACGCTCGGGTCGACCGTACCAAGGCTGGGAATTTATCTTTAGATGCCCCTCAAGTGGATATGAAAACTTCTAAAGAACATGGCCGTACTGCTGGTCTTATGGAGCGATTCGAGGCGGCACCACCGTTGTTTGCCATCGCCTTATCAATGCCACTTGTGCGCCAAGGCAACATACATGAAGTCCTTCAGGAATGGATCCGTACTCAGAGGCCGTCGCAACTTCTTCGTGAGACAGCCATTCGAAACATTATACATGCCGTTCTTCAGCATCTTGTGGTGCTACACCGGGGAGGAAGGGCCCATGGGAGTATAAAGGCAACGAATGTTTTTGTCACCTCTCATGTCATGGAAGCATTGAACGCAATGAAGTCATACTCTCCAAATGCTACCGATCCCTTACCAGTCTCCACTGGGATGGGTAATGCCACTAGACTGTGGAGCGGAGTGACGCTGGACACGAGTGAAGTGGGTGGGGGCAACGTTGATGCCGTCAGTCGTAGAGGCAGCAATAGCTCTAGTGGAGGAAGCATCGGTGGTGATGAGGGGGGTGGAATCGGTGCAGGCGGCGGAGGCTGCAGCAGGTCTACAGAAGTTTTTGATCCACTTGAGTGGACGAAGCACGTCGTTCTTGCGGACGGATATTATGCACAGGTTGAAAAGATAATGAAGACATCTCTCAGAGAAAGTCTCAACACGACGGCGCTCACTTCAGTTATACGTTCTAACTCTGCACCACTCCAGTTGGCCAAATTGTTGGACTCGACTCTCTTTCTTGAGAATATGTCGCCAGAGTACGCTGGGGAGGAAATGGATGCCCTACAACTCTTTGTTCTACAAGAAGAGGAATATATTCCACCACCAGAGTGCATTACAACTGAGGAGGGATTGACCGATGTGTCCTCATTGGAGGCAAAAAATACTTCCGTACAACCTGAATCCAAGAATGCGTCTGGCATGGGCTCTGCCTTTCCTTTTCGAAAAACAAATAATACGCGCAATCCAATTTGTCCCTTTTCATCTTCACACGACATCTGGATGCTTGCTATGCTGGCTATTCACTTGGCGGATGGTGGTTGTCCGTGGTGGATGAAGCGACATCATCGTCCATTGCCCCGTTTACGTTGTGGCCAGTGGTCCGTGCGGTTTGCTGCCTTTGTACAGCGATGTGCCTGTGCGGATCCCGCGCGACGCCCTAGCGCGGAGGAGTTGTTGAATGACAAGTGGTTTCACACGGCGTTGTCGGAGGAAAAAAAAGAGGTGATACCGTCATTGCCACCTCCGGCTCCTTCCCAGCAGGTGCTTCTTGGAGGCAGTAACACCCTTGTTCTTTTGAGACGTTCCTGTCGGCGTGCCTTTTACGACATTATGTTAGAATATAATGAGTATGCAGAAGAATGGTGTACACGATTCTCTCAAGCGGCCACCGTTGCTGCGAAGAGGGAGAAGAAGGACGCTTTTCCCCTTTCCACCTCAAACCAGAGCGGCTCTTTTGCTGCCAATACAGGTGTTGATGAGGCACCTGAGTTGAGCATGACTAATCGTATGGAACAGGGTTGCTCCGGGCTTTTTTCCCCCCCAAATGGTAACAGCAACAAAAACAGCAGTTGCAGTATTAGTCGTAGTAGTCATAGCAGCAATAGTACTAGGACGGACAGCCTTGTTTCCAGGAGTGGCAATAGCGATAACATGAGCGAGACTTCACCACGAGGAAGATTGCAGAGCCCAAGTGGCTTTGCTGGCGGCACGGACAATCCTGCAGTCGATGGCCACTTGATGGCCTCGCACCAAACAGCACCTTTTTTTCTTGGCGCTGTTGGGGTGGCGTTGGAGTTGTGTGGGGATGAGGCCTCACCGGATGCGGGGGACGCAGAGACCGAGACGTGTCGGGTATCATCCTCGCGCCAAGGCGGAGGGGGAGGAGGCGCAGGGAAAAGTGTCGGCGGGAG